CCCTCTGGGTCTGGGGTTGCACCCGCTCCCCCTACATATATATATATGTATGTATACATCCATCCATACATACAGTCTCCCAAATCTCTCCGCCTCCCTGGCGGAGTTTTGCAGCGGGGATGAGGACAGCCCGTCAAAAAGTCGCGCCCGGCAGGATGCGCGGGACGGCCCTAGTCACCGTCCATGCTGCCTGGCACGTCTTCCCCTAGGGAAGGGGGGTTTTTAGCGGAGGTCATGAGAGATGCCGGGACGCGGATACCCTGTCCGGAGTGACGGGGCAGCGGCGCAGGGCGCTCGCGAGCCTGGCGGTGCCATCGGGGTGATTCAGAGCAGAACACAAAGTCAGCTGCCTCCGGGGTCCAGGTGCCAAGCACACATTCCAGTTTGGAACGCACTGCCGTCCGGATTGTTGGCACTGTAGTAACTGAAGCTGTGCTCTGTTTAAACAGTAGCAAAAAAAAGAAAATCATTTATCTTTTTATTTGGAGCCAAACCCACCTGCATCCAGATTTTTTGATGCATGCACTGTCAGTCTGTCTTGCTGGAATATATCAGAGCACAGATTTGTTCCTGTGAATTGTAAGAGATATGTACAGTTCTTTTTGCTGGTAGAAACTGAGGCCCAACACTGGCTGGATTCCTCTCACTACCAGTGCCACGTATAAGTGTCACTCTGTTGTGCTGCACAGTTCGTGGATGGGGACACTTTAGACTTTTATTATCCCTTACAAATTAAGTATGCAAGCCTTAATTGTGCCACCGAGGCAACTAGTTCTTCATTTAAACAAGGACCACTCCCGGCCTGCGTATAAACACCAGGTTGCAGTTACACTGCTTTTGGCATCTGGTACCTCCTCACTTCTGTGTAGTGATCAAGAGAGTGGGTTTCCTTCATGAGCATTAGACAGCCAAAGCTTAGTCATGTTCTTTAAACTACTTCTTATTTTAATGCAGAAACATCTCTACAGCACTTCATCCCACCTATCTTAGATACCTCTTTCAAGGTGAGAGCAACCAGGGCAGTACCTTTGTGCCTCCATTAGCTATAGATTAGCTATATCTAATGCTTAGGGAGAACTCGCTCCTAAGGCTATGTGTGGCAAATGACCCTTCCAGACGCCCCATGTGGAAGCACTGGAAAAACTTGAGCAAAGACTTCTCAAAAGCTAGATATGTTATGTTCCAAACATGAGGAATATGTGGGAGTGAAAGTGTTGTAATAGAGTATAAATGAGGCTGAAAAATATTTCTGCAGTGTCTGACTTCTTGACCTCCTATTGGGGTGTGAAAACTGATGAACAGTTTTGAAAAGAGGGATGACTGCAAGAAACTAAGCAAAATTGTCTTTCCATGGTGATTTTGTTTGTCATGCTCTTGAAAGTCAGAAAAAACACAATTCAAACTGCTGGGCACCAAGAAAGCGGAGCATCCTTGTTTTTTGACCATTTTTTTCATTATTTCTTAAGGCTCTCATACTTAACGTATGAGAAAAGCTTGTCTTTACGCTTTTCGTTGTTCATATCTTTCCTGTAGGTGAAACTGTTTTTCCCGATAATTCAGCTGAAACATTTTTGCTGATTTTCTAACATAACAGGTTTCAATCCACCCTCTTCTGCGTGGTATGGAGTAAGACAACTCCACAGGCTCTAAGACGACTCAGGCCAGAGTTGCAACTCGTGGTTGCAACCCCGCAGCACGGCAGTGATGTGCAGTGCTGAGCTAATGCAGCATCCATGATTCTCCCCACCCCTGCACACTGCACACCTATTTTTTGCCAAGTGCCATTAGCAAGGAAACAATTGCATTTCTTCCTCATCTGCAAAAACAAATGGCTGCAGCCATTTGTTCACCTTCCTCTCTATTGACCTGTAGGTTGAAAGGATGCAACGTAATGATATGCAACTTGAAAATCATTAGAGGGGAACTGTTTGCTGCACAGGACTGCCCAAGTTTGGCATAGTTGCATGGAAGTCATGTATAAAATAAATACTAACTCAGGGAAAGATGAAACTTCATCACAGTATTATCAGGGAAAGGAGGGAGAATCAATGCTTCATCCTTTCTAGATTCAACAGCCATTGCCTGAAGCACTTGAAAAATCCTCATTCCTATTGCTTGCAGTCGCTTCCGTATTGAACTCATCTCTCTGCTGCCTGTTATTTGCTCAGCTCCATGTTAACCCTGTGAACACGCAGACGCGAAGCCCAGCGATGGCTCCACTTGAGCCAATGGCCAAAGCTCGTCTAATCTCCAAGGGTGATTTTTTGATCGGAATAGTACAGGGAGAACATACCTGTAAGAAGCATCCTGGTTCATGCTTGCAGAGGCTTAGCATAGCAGTGCCTGCAGTGCCATTTGACCAACACCCACTGCCAGTTCAACAGAAACAACTGCACATAGAAGTACCTAAGTAAATATCCATATGATTCAAATATGCAATGGTGTCTGTATGGTGTCTCAAGCAGGGAAAATAATAATAATAAAAAGAAAGATGCAGATTTGTTGTGATGTGGGTGTTTTATAGTAGGTCTCAAGACATCAAGTCAGGTTTTGAACTGAAATCCCCATAAAAAGGTAGCTTGTTCACTTTTTTAAGTAAGCTTAGGGATTCTGGAAAGAACGAAGGAGGTGAATTTCCTTCACAAAAGTGGTCCGTCCCCAGACAACAGTTATGATTAGGACAAGATTAGGATTAAGGATACACTTTATCATAAAAATGTGTTCACTATTTCAATGATTCCAGCCACTACATTCTTATTTTTGACGGGGTTGACATGGTTAAATAACATGAAACAAAGGCTACATGAGCACTTTTCAAGTTAATTTTTCAGTTATATTTTATTCCCGTCATGAAAAACAAAGTAAAAGAGACTTTATAGAAGAGCAAATATGGAAACTGGACAGTCATTCACACAGAATCACAGAATGCTTAAGGTTGAAAGGGACGTCTAGAGATCATCTAGTTCAACCCCCCTGCTCCAGCAGGGACACCTAGAGCACGTGGCTCCTCAGAGGTTCTTAGAGAATTACAAAAACTCTGTAATTCCGATTACTGAATAAAAAAGACTAAACTTTTTTTTAGCAAGGAGAAAAGTCATCTGCCAGACTTCCAGTGAAGTCAGGAGAAACTTTTCCTCCATCCTGAATTGCATAGTTTATCTCATAGAAAAAGATGCAGATGTCTAGTATAAGTAGCCCTGCAATGATAACAGAAATCACCTAATAAGCATTTAAGATGATTATGTTGTCTTTCAAAAAGTCATCATCTCCCAAAATGACATAAAAATTGGCAACACATTTGTGACAAACTGTCAGTAGAACCATATTTATAACAGTACTGTACTTTGGCTCTGTAAGTCCTAAAACCTTGACCACTTTCATGATTTCTCCTTTTTTTTGTAATTTCTGTCATTTTTTTCAGATTTTAGTATTTCATATTAAGAATTCTTAGATCACATTACTCCTTTACCTTTTGTTCTTACCATAATTCCAAAGAAATGGTTTTCCTAAAGACTCCTGACTGATAAGTTTTCCAGCCTCCTAGCACGGGTCACTTCAGAATATTTACAACAATTGCTTCTTAAAACACCTGATTATTGTTAATTCTATGCTATTATTCTTTCCGGCCCCCCAAATTCATTCTTTTTTATTTTTTATTCAGTTTAAAAATATTTTTATTCAACCCGTATTACTCAAAACAATTGAAACTTCATCCTACAAGAATTTATAAATGTATTTCTTTATGTGATTAATTCTCAGAAGCATTCATATGCTAAGGGAGTTTGTCCATTCAGGACCTAAACAACATTGCAAGTGTACTCAATATTTCATACATTCACATTAGTATTATAGGTTATTCACTTGCAATGCTGGGACTGAAATCTGAAGAAAACTAATCTGCACGCTTGATTTTTGAAAATGTGGGAATTTCCTTCCGTTCACTCCATAGTAATTGATTGTTCTAATACAAGTTGCATTTCGAAACTAGCCATTACTTACGTTTCGCAGATTATGCATTCTCAGAAAAAAAAAAAAGGTTTTGTGATAAGTTTTCACAGTCAAGTTAATCAAGAGGAAGTCAGCAAGTTTTGCTATTCAGGCACTAGGAGTTTTAGTCACTAATCGTAATGTGTCCATTTTTCAAAAGTATTTACAGGGGTTCCTTTTGTTAAGTCAGCTCTCATCCTGTGACTGAATTGATTTATTTGAATTATTCACTACAATAGCTGTGTCAGTTTTTACCTGTGTGTTAGGGTTCAGAGTCATTTATGAAAGTTGAAATAAACCGTTCTTTTAAACTGTAGTGGTTAGAAATCTTCCCTATACTCTACTAAGTAGAGTATACTCTACAGAAAGCAGAAAAACAAAAGAGAGAACAAGCATGTGAATTATAAGCCAGTCTAGCTTAATTAAAATATTTCAGTTGTATTATTTTACCCCAAAATACATTTTATCCAAAATATACATTAGTATATTTTATATTATTGTATCTGTTATGTGAAGAATGCAAGACTTTCTTTCCTTCACTAAGATTAAAATACAGAAGTAGAAAATATAGAGCTCATAATTAAAATTCTCAAAGTACTTAGTCTCTTTTCAGAACA